GAAAATAAACAAAACGAATTACAACTATGCTCACATTCAAAGGCAAATGCAGACACACATTTCCCTGAAGAGATTAGTGGGTGAAAAGACAAGTGAGGGAGTGGAGGGGATGCAAAGAGCTCACCTTTCCTCATAATGACTGAGCTCACCTGTTGATCCCCTCACCTGGGGCAGGGGGATCGCTCTCCCTCTCTCCCAGAGATGGCCAGATAAAGCCAGCCTTTCAGCTGAAAACACACTGAGGTTGGCCACAGTGATGTGTGCCCCCTCCTCCACTCCAGCAGCCCCGGCCCGCCCCATGATGCAGCCCTGAAACTGATCCAGGTAGGCTTTCTGAAGGAGAACTTTCTCACACTCGCACCTGCCAATCACACAGGTCCCATGTGCACGAGACAAGAGGGAAAAAAGTGTGTCGCACACGTAGTATGGATTGAGCGCACACACTGAAGTAAACTGTACACAGATAAGAGGAGATAATTGGCTCTGGGACAGTGAGTCTCGCAGGTAAATGAGCTGATATAATCACAGAAGAAAGCTAAACGAGCTCAGTGTAACATTCATGTGTGTGTGTGTGTGTGTGTGTGTGTGTGTGTGTGTGTGTGTGTGTACTGTTGATGTTGACGAGCCCACGTAGAAACAGGGGTTCTATTTAGGGATAAAAAGGCAAATCCTGATCAGGTTCATCAAACAGCTTGAGCACAAAGACTCCAAAAACCATCAGATCTGCAGGGATGAAAACGTTTGGGTTTAACACCACGTCACACACTCAGGACTTACGTTTTTAATGTGTATTGTTGTTGTTTCTGTAATACTTTTATTATGAAAAATAATGATGAGAAAAATCTGAGGCAAGAATTATGTTAGATGAAAAAAAAAGCTAGATGACAATCTAAACCTCTAAATTCCCCTCAGATAATTGAGGCTTTCCAAATCGTTTTAAAGGGATTCTCTCCAGCTTTAGTTCTTCAGATAAACAAGCATTAACTGCAAAACAGAGTTTAAACATCAAAGCAGCTACTGTATTTTTCATCCATACCAGCTGCTTATTGGATCTTATCTTGTTGATGAGTTTATAATGAGAACCAAACAAAAAGCAGGGGTGAGGAAGGTTGAAGGAAAATGGGGAGGGATGGATTTGGGCCCCACGTGAACGCAGTAGTCGTTAAACTGTAATATGGAAGGTTCAAAACTTCACAGAAAAATCTGCTCAAACACCAAAATATTAAAATTTTCTGGGCAAATATACGAGAAGAAAAAAATAAATATAAACCTAAACATATCACTCGTCACCTTTCATGTCAGAATTTTGAACTAGGTTAATTTTATGATGAAAACAAACAAAGTTAAAGTGGCTTTGGTCAAACTTTGTAGACGATGTTTATTCGTTGTTGTTGATGTTTACCAATCTCAGGCAATTTTGTGACACCTTACATGATCTGTTAGCACTTGACATGTGCATTTAGGGATGGGTTTTATTAGCTACAACAGAAAATTTTAGCTCAGTTTTTGTAAAATCCACTGAGTTATGGCCAGTGTTGTCTTTGCTAAGATTGATTAGCTGTGGTGGCCATCTTGAATAGAGTTAATGCCAAGATTTAATCAGCTGTTGATGTACATCAAATAATTACAATCTGTCTAGTGGTTTGAGACATTTTGCTAACAGACAGACAATAACATTATCATTATCATTGCGCCAGCCAACCAAAGGTCTGGCCTCCCCCAAAATGTGCTTGGGCGCTCAAGAGCTGCACTGAACCGGACCCACAGACTCAGTGGTAAACCCGAGAGATCCTAGCCTGCCCACATGGACCTCCAAGCAAGGACGCGCCGAATGTCCAGCAGTCCATCCAGAGCCCATGGCCATCTTTTTAACCTCTTTCAACCAGCCGAAGAGGACCTCTGAGCAGGGACGTGCTGGTAAGTAAAATTTAGTAGCTACATACAAGTATGTTGTTAAAATTAGTAGGTTTATGAGTTCAGAACATTGATTGTGGGCTTTGTTGCTGCAGGGTAGGTCTGCACAAATGGAACTGAGTAGGCCTGTCACAATAATAAATTTTGCTGGGCGATTAATTGTCTCAGAAATTGTTGCAATAAACGATAATATTGTTTGAAATGTGACAATAGTTTGAAATTGTCAAATTTAAGAAGAAATGTTTAATTTGTTTTGAATGTAGTACCATTTTTCGACCACTGGATGGCAGTATAAGACTGTTTGAACCGAAGGATGGATAGTGAGGGAGCGAGCAGTGTGTCTCTAAGAAAAATGGGAAGGACGCTCCTTGACGTGACATGGGCTGTCCCTCCTACCTTTTTTTCCGGGTTCTCAAAATGGTGGATGCTAGGTGTGGTTTGAGCTCTTTAGCATAGCATTTTTCACACAAAGCTTTTAATAAAAATTCACTAAACAAGTTCTCAGCTTCTTTTTGCAAAGAAAAACAACGTTTTACACAAAGGCACAAGTTTCATCCATGAATTTTGGAGCCTCGACAAGACGGATTTTTTTTCCCCTGAGGTCAGCCTGTTAGCTTAGCTCGTAGCTTAGCTTCTCAGCTTAGCTGCTTTTAATGATCCAAAAACACGATTTTTGACGATTAAAACGGATTTTAAAGAGAAAAGAAAAAGGGAGGGGTCAGTGAAGAGCCCCGGAGTTGAGCCTTTTGTCATCCAGTGTCTTCAGAAAGAGAGAGACACGAAGAAACGATAAACCTGATAAATGAAAATGAGGTCGATAATTTTCATTTATCATGCGATTAATTGATTTCTTGTTTATTGCAACAGGCCTAGAACTGAGTCGAACCAGAACAGAGTCAGACCAGAACTGAGTCCCTCTCCTGTTCTGCAGAGTTAGTAAGTAAAATTTAGTAGCTACATATAAAGTACTGTAAGTATGTTGTTAAAATGACGCAGGTTTAAAGTTTAGAACAATGCAAGAGAGTGGGAAGGGTTTATAAAGCCTTAAAATATATAAATACTAAAATAAAGATAATGTTGCTACTTTGTGGAATTTCACTTACTTCTGGGGAGAGGGTGTTCAGAACCAAACATCCACAATAAACAAGGGACTACTGTAATTCACTTTTGACAGTGAACAATAAAAAAATCTAATAAAACAGAAAAGATGTAAAACAATGAGTGTCTAGAAAACTTAGTAATGGTATCATTCAACACAATCCAATAATCTAACATTCAAACGCTATATTTTATGAGAATAACAAAGATCTTTAATTTTGACATTTTAACACTAAATTAATTTTACAAGGATAAAGAACTTAAAACTGTGATGCTCAAAGCTAGAAATAATATGCTTCCAAAGAATATTCTAAACTTATTTAAGAATAGAGAGGGAAGGTACAAACTGAGATGAAAATGTAATTTAAAGCAGCCCTGTGTTCGCAGCACTCTTAAAAGCATGTGCATATCAGTTCGAGGAGTGATTTTACTTATTCTTTTTACTTAGTTACTTGAAAATTATTATGATTGAACTAATTGTTTGAAAAAAGGGGCAGATATAATAAGATTTTTTTCTTCTTCTGCTGCCTTTCATTTTAAATCTCTTGTATTTTTTTTTATATTGTTATGGAATTGCTTTGTATTTTTTTTAATGAATAAACTTTATACCATACCATTTTGTGGAGTGGTTTAGACGAAGAGAAAAATATTGCACAATTCAAGAGAAAACATAAGAAGTACAAAATTAATGTGTATAAAAACAAATGAGACAAAATGATGTTATTCCAACTGTTAATTTGTTAATCTGTGTGTTTGCATATTAAGTTTAGATCTATAGGTGATATAGAGTAAATTTGTATCTTCAGGTGTATTTATGTGTGTGTAGGTATATGTAGCTATGCGTGCATGTCTCTGTGTATAGTTATATATGCATGTATGGTGTTTTTGTATTTATTGAATCACTAGTTTGATTGAGAATTTGTATGCACATTTAGGGACAGGACTGGATAAGTCTTCTTCCTGCTCCCTTTTTGAACATTTTTGTTTTGTTTACAGAATATTTTGGTGGAAATATTTACATTTTATTTATGTTTTTTATTTATTTTAACTGTTCGAAATGAAATAACATAAATTAAAAATTAAAAAAATTAAAACTTTGTGCAAGTGTTTTGTCTTTTTAGCAGATTTAGTTGTTAATTTAAAAAAAAAATTAATTACATTTTAAGAAAACTGCGACACCTAAACACGCTGCAAGAATAATCCAACGGTGAGCTAATAACAGATGATGATTTAGTCCTTTTTCAACGATTTTTACATTTTCTGCATGCAGACATTGACTGGCATACAGAGCAGGAGGTGTTGGCTCGATACTTGTCATTTAATATATTCACGGGCTACACAAGTGGTCCAAAAGCACTGGCCACCCCCGCCCCCCATCAAGGCAGCTGGGAGACAACGGCCAAGAAAAAAAAATCTAAAACAGATGAGGCTGATGAAAAAATTACTCATCTGGACACAAACCAGTGCAGTGACCAAATCAATTTCCAACTAAATATTTTCTTTATTTAGCACAATAATTTATATTTCTGGTCTGCTTAAAAGCCATTGTGAAAAAATAATTTATTGTTTATTAAAAAAATAACGTTTTGACTTTGGTTTATTCAAGAAATGTTCACGTCTAAAAGCCTAGTTGAGAACAACTGTCCTGACAAAAGCCAGTTTTTAACGTTTTCCTGCATCTTTGGTATAAAAAAAATGTTTGTTTTTATAATAGAAGGGCATTTGTGTTTGTGAAAGAAGCCCACTCCCATAAATGTCTTCAATTTAGCACAAATAAATAAAGTGTCTATAACACAGGTAAAGAATTGGTGTGGTAATGACCGCCATTACCGGAAAAGCAAAAGCATCTAAAGGAGTGTGAACTCCGCCTGTGAGGGGTTATCATCATTCCAATCTAGCCTTGGCTTGAGAGGATTGTATTGTACTTCAAGCTTAGCTTGTTCCCTTGGTAACCATACTGGTATACTTGCACATCCCCCAGTACTTACTGGCCAGGCATATTTGAAGGGAATGACAATGTGTCCATTAGTTCCATCTTCTCCTCCTCCTCCTCCTCCTCTGTCATGTCCTCGGTGGTGGAGCAACTGGGAGTTTCCCCCCAAGACGCCGGTGCTGTCTGACCCGAAGGTGCAGGCTCCGGTGGGAAACACGCGGGCCTGATACTCCTTGAGGCAGGCTTGGAAAAACGTGTCACACTGGTCCCTGGCAGAGCAGCGCTGTCCCCCGCTGCCCTGCAGGTCGCAGCAGTCCCCGGTCTGCAGGAGTCCATGCGGGTTCTGGAAGTGACGGATCTGAAGCTCGAACATCCCCGCAGCGCAGACGTCCTGTGTCCAGAAAGAGAGCAGCAAAAACAGAAGGATCACTTTACTATCCGTTATCGAACTGATGTGTCCTGAGATGTCACACTCAGGAGTATGTAGTGCAAATTACTCTCACCTACTACCACAACAACTTTTATCTCAATAACTGTAAAATCCAAAAGTTAATCCACTCTAGATCCAACAATTATGTTTTGTGATTTTCAACAAAGCAAGTCCAGCAGTTTGTGAAAACTTCTGCTAACAGTCAAACAGGATCAACTTTAATAGTTAAGACTAAAGGTGTCTTGCGGGGAAACCTCTATAACGGTCGCGAAATGATGACGTCTCAGCAAAAGTCGCGTTCTACTCCTAAATACAAAACAACTTTATTTATAAAGCACTTTAAACACTACTCCATTGGCCAAAGTGCTGTAAAGCAAACTGATAACACAAAAAAGCAATAAAAGCATAACAACTATTAAAAAAATCAACTGAAACCATAAAAGTAATGAACTGATAAAATTATAAAAACAGCAAACAGTACAAACAATAAAATAAATTACTTAAAAATAGTAAAATCAACATTTCTAGCAGAGTTAAAAGCCAGAGAAAAAAAAGTGTTGTAAACGTTTAAATCAACCATATTACATTCAATATTCAAAGTTTTATTTTGATATTTATTATTAAAACATTTGATTCGCATGTAATATTTAAATATGACATTAGAATTTAGATTTAACTTTTAACTACACAAAAAAAAAGTTTTAAAAGACAACGAAAGGTTGTTTTTGTTTACACACAAGACTTTTCTGTGAGAAAAATGCACACAATGTAAGGAAAGTTTGCTAAATAACAAAAACGTGTTCGACATGTTAGAATGATGGACTTTATGGCTTGTGCCCAATATTTGCACTGATTTAAACTCAAAAGACTTTGAAGTTTTTTTGTTCCATTTGACTCGCGTGTGCGACTCGTAATGATGCGAAAAAGAAAGTGTCCCTGCAGGTGGTTTCTGCTGCGAGCTCCTTGTAATCAGAACGTGACGAACTGCTGCTGCTTCTGCCCCTGCTGCGTTCACATCTTAGAAAGGTTTGAAACATGAGCCTTTCTGTTTTTACAAACAGTAAATTCAAGTGCGAAGCTGGTATTTGACCGTTTCCTGTCTTGGTTCACAAATTCAAACACAAAGTCATGCACAGTGGGCTTCTCGTTACCAGGTGAAGTCAGGAAAGGTGATCGTGTGTGTACCTGTGCATGTTTCTCTGTCTACTAGCAAAACCACTGACTGGTGCACATTTAAAACTCGTCTTTTTTTTGGAGTCCACTCAATTTAACACGGCTGCCACAGCTAAAGATTGAAACAACTCAGTCGTTTCTACAGATGTTGAGCTGTAGTCGTAGCTGAAAGTCGTCCTCAACACATACGGGCTAACAGACATCGTTGTCTTTGTTTAAACTTTAGCATGAAAAGCAGCAGGTGATCCTTCAGGGATCGTTACTTTAATAATTAGACAGATCTTACAGTGAAAGTGACACATTTACCACAAACTTGTTTTTGAGAAACGAGTGGAAGAAACATCAATTTTCAAAATAGCTGAGTTCAGTTTTTTAAAGAGAGTTTTGTGAAAAGGTTCTGAACAATTATTAACAGGGATGCACGATATTATAGGCAAGGTATCGGTGGATATTAACGATAAAAGTTAAATATCGGACATCGGCCATTCCATTCTAAATAAATCACCACTATAAAAGGCGCTGTTTATATATATATAGATAGATATGGAACTTTTTCTATATGACTGTTCGAGTGTTGTCATTGTGTTGGAGAGAGTAAATGTCATGAATAAATTTGACATTAAACATAATCCAAGTTCAAGTGTTGCATCATTTTCAGACTCCTTTTAGGCATCTGATTTGCTAATAGGCCTAATTGACAAAGACCATGCAGAATAATGTATTTTATTTCCACAGCAGAGAAAGCTGTGTAGTCTCTGTAAGAAGGTCTAGGGGAAAAATATCGGTATTGGTATCGGTTATCAGCCAAATAAGTTTTAACATATTGGCATACCGGATATCAGCCAAAAATCCAATATGGTGCATCCCTAATTATTAACTTACTTGTTGCAGATAGCTCTTTGCACATCCTTAGTTAGTAGAAATGCGAGTTTTATTTTGATTGGACTGATGGGCTTAATTATAGATCAAGCAGGCCAAGACCAAAGTAGATTCCTGAAGTATTAAATCAAGATCCAGCCTAAAAAAAAATGTTTTTTTTTTTAATTGTAGCAGTCTTTCAAAAACTCTTTAAAAAAAAATATGTTGTTCATTGCAAGAGCTAATGCACGTAGCTGTAGCACATCCAGTGCAGCCAGGGGCACTTCCTGTTGAAATATTCTAATTTTTCTTCTGTGAATACAATAATGTGAAATTAACTACAGTATACATCACCAGAAGTTTTAATGATCTTAAAAGAGAAAATGTTATATCTAAAGACAGTGTATTGCAATTAGTTCAAATCAAAATAGATGGTTGAAAATTGATGTTAAAAATTAGGAAACAAAAAAAACATTTTTCAAATTAACAGAGTTGTGTACAGAAGAGAGATGAGAGTGACTCCAGTGACTGTCAGAAACACTGCACTTGATTACTGTAATTACAGTAGTGTAAAAAAATAAAAAAATAAAAAAAGTAGTGTAACTATTGCAATGGTTTATTATCTGGGTGTCAAAATTCTTCTTTAAAAAGTCTTCAGTTGATCCAAAATGCTGCTGCCAGAGTATTAACTGGAGTTAGTGGGAGAGATCATCTCTCTCCAGTTTTAGCTTCTCTCCATTGGCTCCCTGTCAAATCCAGAATTGAATTCAAAATCTTACTTCTAACCTACAAAGCACTCAACAACCTAGCTCCATCTTATTGTTCCATATTTTCCTAACACTGCTCTTTGCTCTCAGACTACAGGCTTACTCGCGGTTCCTAGAGTTTTCAAGAGCAGAATGGGAGGAAGATCTTTCAGTTATCAGGCTCCTCTCTTGTGGAACCAACTTCCAGTTTCTGTCCATGAGGTGACACATTGTCCAGTTTTAAAACTGGGCTTAAGACTTTCCTTTTTGATCAATCCTATAGTTAGGGTTGGCTTGTTATGCTGCTACTGGAGGACAAATTGACCTCATTTCCTTAAATGAATTGCTAAATAGAAGTTTTCATTTGATACTATTTCTATCTTAACATATGATTCTCGACCTGCCATTGTGTATCTGTTCCTCCTTCCTGTTCCTCTCAAACCCAGCCGGTCGAAGCAGATGGCTGCTTGTCCTGAGCCTGGTTCTGCTAAAGGTTTCTTCCTCATGAGGGAGTTTTTCCTTTCCACTGTCGCCTTCATGTTTGCTCAAGATGAGAGTCTGTGATGGAGTTAAACTCAAAGCAGTCTGTTCCTCAGATAAACAGTTTTAAATTATTATTATTATATATGAATGTTTCTGTTCATTGCCCTGAGATGACTTCTGTTGTGACTTGGCGCTACATAAAAAAACTGAACTGAATTAAAAGATAATTCATATAAACTGTAGGTATTACACAAGTACATAGGTTTATAAAAAAAAATTTGAATAAACTGTAATAAAAAAAAACTGATTTAGTTATTTTAACCCTACTGTTACCTTTAAATATACAAGTATGAAACAAACAAACAAACAAACAAAAAGCAATAATGAAAATGGTGTCAATCATTTATTTAGACATGTTAAACATTCAACGGCATCAAACTGACCCCAAAGATATTAGAAGGGTTAAGATCAGAATCAGAATCAGTTTATTATCGCCATGTCAATGAACGAGGTTCACAAAATAGGAATTTGCTTCGACATAAGGTGCGAATAGTAGTAAAGTAAAATAAAGTAAAAATAAAGTAAAAATGAAGTAAAAATGAGAACATTACATAAGACCTGTGTACATCCACAAATAAAGTAAAATTAAAAACATAACATAAACATGTGTACACCCATACAATAGAAAACAATAAAAAAGCTTAAACAGTACAGATGGAGTATTCAATTATAATACCGATGTAATGTGAAGATGGGCTTGGTCTCAGTCGTATTAGTTATTAGCTAGTTATTTCTGGTCAAATTTGTAAAACATTTTTTTGAACTGAGGCTGTTCAAAGAGCTACCTACAACAGGTAAGATATTAACTGTTCGTAACATTTTCACAGAACCACACTTCAAAAGATCTGAACCATCTCTTTTGAAGACATTTAAACTTTCATCACTTCAGGATTCAGCATAGAAATAAATGCTGTGTTAGTTCCATACGTTTTTTTATTTTATGTTTTTGTAAACGGGCAGCACGGCGGTGCAACTGGTAGAGCTGCTGCCTCTCAGCGAGCAGGTCCCTGGTTCAAATCCTGGTCCGGGGGCCTTTCTGGGTGGAGTTTGCATGTTCTCTCCGTGCATGTGTGGGTTTTCTCCGGGTACTCCAGTTTCCTCCCACAGACCAAAAACATGCATGTTAGGCTGATTGGTAACTCTAAATTGTCCCTAAGTGTGAGTGAGAGAGTGAAAGGTTGTTTGTCTCATTTGTCTCTATGTGTCCCTGTGATGGACAGGAGACATGCCCAGGGCGTCCCCCGCCTCTTGCACAGTGATGGCTGGACATGGGCACCGGCGACCCCCGCGACCCAAAATGCAGGTTAGATTAATGGCAAGTGAGAAGATTCTGATCTAATCAATTTTTAAATCATCTGACCATTTAAAGGTTACAAGAAAACAGTTCTCAGGAAGTGAGAAGATAAAAAGAAGAGAAGGTAAAAAAAAAAAAACAAGAGCAAAACTTTGATTCCCATAACTGTGTCTGACATCTGTGGAGGAAAACAAACTACACACCAGCTCTCCTGCCTCTCTCTGTTTATCTCTCAACTTCCTTTTATCTGCCTCGTCTTCTTTCTTTCTCTACATCGGGTCGCCACCACTCCCTTCTTTTTCTTTCCTCTCTTCCCAGGGGAGCACGGGGATTCTGCTTACACTGTCTCACTCCGCATCGCGTTTTTATTCCGTCTGAGAACGAGTTGTATAATGTTTCTGTCATCGCTTTCTCTCAGTCTGTGACCGTCGGCTCCTCCGGACTGTTTCCATCCTTTATCTTTTCATTGTTGTTTTCTCAGAGATCCCTTCTTGTTTATTGATGTGACGCACACACACACACAGTGGCGTTAATAAGACCTCCTGAGAGTCTCAGAGCAAAACAGGTCAGGTTTGTGCCGACTGAAAGGGTGTATAGAGATTTCAAGTTGCTCCAGATATAAAGATTATCTGAATAAACTTCAGTCTTGATGGATTTTATAGCACAAACACTAAAGTTGTGACAGACACATATCCACAGTGATGCTATCACCTGCTGCCAACAGGCGAATGGGGGATGTGTGTGTGTTCATGCGTCTGTTACTAAAATATATTTTGAACTGGACAAAATCAATGAAACTTTCAGAAAGTAATAGGATGCGTGTCAACATTTGAACAACTTTTGACATAAGCCAACACAAAAATTGCTATAACTCAGTCAATTAAACAGATATAGGCTCAAATTAGATGTGGTGGTAGCTAAAAGATTATCACATTTCATCACTTAAATATCACATTACACGTTCTGTTCATCTAAGGGCTGGAACAAAACAGTACCGTCATTTTTCAACACAAGGGGTGGCTGGTGATATGCATTTTATCACGGTATGATAGGCTTTTGCTTGAGTCAGCCATGAGCAGGACACCCAGGACCTGCTGGGTTCTATATGCCATGCAGGCCAAAGCTGAGCCCAAATCACCCCATTGTTAATGACTGCGTGTCCCTCCACGGCACCCTGTCCCTGAGCCCAGAGGTCTGGGGTTAGCGTCTGCAGGGAGGAGGGGTGAACTTGTCTACATCAAAAGGTTCGTGGAGATACAGTGGCACTCATCACTCTACATCCTCCTTTGTCCCTGTACTCCGCTCGCTGCCGGAGCCATTCCCTGCATACCAGCGTTTCAGCGCTCAGTCAGACCAGAGACGGGGAGGACGGGGGGGGGGGGAGACGGAGGAGCTGGAGCCCATGAATCTCTGCGGGAGAGCTTCAGCAGTTAAAGCCAGAACTCAGCCCGCCGCACAGCTAATCCCTTCTGACCAAAGACCGGCCTTTAAGGTTCAGTGATGGAGCTCTGTGTTAACGACCGAAGGCAGGAGGAGCTGTTAAAAGACGTTGAGCTGACTGAGAACAAGAGGCCTAAAGAAGAACCCAAAACTTTCACTCCTGATTCTATAATAAATCATCCTGTGGTACAGAGTGAGTGGAACACACAAACTGCATCACTACTGTGAAAAATCAAGTTTGTGTAAATTTAACTCGTGAAATACTGAGAGATCTTGCGAGATCGGTGAGCACTCAGAGAATGTGCTGAGGATCATTCTCAGCTACTACCACACCAAGTTTTAGCTCGATTTCTGTAAAAATTGCTTAGTCATTTTTGTGTGGAGTAAAGTCAATTAGTTGTGGAGTAACTGGGTTCACTCCCACGGTTAATCCATTCTAAATACACATCCAGTAATTACTTTCTAAAAGTGGTTTCAAGAAATATTTTGCTAATAGACAAACACGCACAGATATGGGCAACGACATTTCACCTTTCTCCGCCTACGAGGGTGATCATGGCAGAAGAAAATGCTATTGTGCCGATTTCAGATGATAAAAAGTGGGTTTTTTGTTGCTATACTTCATTTGTCGCCAATCTGAATACCCTTCTTGTTTAGTTAAAGATGTTATCTTTGATTTGATTTTCTGACATGTAATTGTGCAGAATTTTTTTCATTTTAATCACGATAAAAAGGCAATTATTGGTTGAGCTATTCCACTTTAATTTGACTTGTGTTATTTTGTTTGAATCAACAAGCAAAAATCGTTTCTTGCTTTGAAAACCACATTTACAACAAAATCTGTGCGGCGTGCCCGAGATAGCAATTTACTTCAAAAACATGCAATGAAGTGCACTCTAATCTTATTTCAAAAATTGAGCTTCCATTCGAGAACGAGAAAGAAAAAAAAAAATCTCATTTTGCAAACCGAAATTACATGCTGTGATAGTTTAGCTTTTATATGCTGCAGGGGAAGAAATGAATATATGGTGGCAGACAGAATGGAGGAACTGCAATGGAGGTGCTGGGTGTCCAAAAGCCTTATCCCTGTGTCCACAGATCTTTTTTATGTCGAAAAGTTAAAAAAAAAGAACAAAAAACAAATGAAACTGGCTTTGACAAAAAGGATGGTATCCATAGAAAAGATACTAATTGGACTGTAGGGACATGGATTAAGGTGTGTCCTGTAACAAGGTGTGTACCACGCTGAACATGGACCACAGGGAGCGAAGGACAGTTGTCTCAGGAGCTTAAAAAGAAAATGGACATTATGTTGAAGGTAAATGCTATAATCTCCAAGCAGCTTGATGTTTCTGTGACTCCAGCTGCACATTAAGATCAAGGCACATCAGTGTCAGATCACACCATCCATCGATGTTTGAGCCAAAGTGACTTAATGGGTGACAACCGAGGACGACACAAATCTTACCAAAAGCCATACTGGAATTTGCCTAAATGCATATGATCAAACCACAAAGCTTCTGGGAGAACAGCATTTGGACAGATGAGACTAAACTTAAGCTTTTTGGCAACAAATCCCATCAGCTCTATACCCAGACCCAAATGTGAAACTATGAAAAGAACATGGTACCTATGAGGGAGGCTCAGTTGTTCTGAGGCTGCTTTGCTGCATCTGGCACAGGGTGTGTTGAATCTGTGCACACCCTGTGACGTCTCAAAGATTTTCAAGGCATTCTGGAGCCAAATGCGCTGCTCAGTGTCAGAAAGCTCGGTTTCAGTCTCAGATCATGTGTCATCCAACAGGGTAATGACCAAAAACACACATTGTGCTATCCTGAAGTGGTTTTACGAGCCCTGATCTAAATCCTGTTGAGGAAGGACTGAAACAAGCAGTCTAGAGGAAACCAGTGGACAAAAATACCTGTCGACAGGTGCAGACGTCTCAGAGTTACAAAAATTGATTGCTTCAAACGGTTGTGCAAGAAAATATTAAGTGTACCATCGTTTGGTCGAGGCCAGTTTCATTACTTTGTTTTTAAAATATTTCTGTTGAACCACAATTCAGAAACTGTGATTTTCAGTCTTTTTTTTGTTTGTTTTCTTTATTATTTTTGTCACTTGCAAGTTATTTCAGTGACCTGTGTGGGTTTCCTTTATTTAACAAATGTAACACCAGTATGCTGGTGAAGATGCTCAGTCATCCAGGACATGGTAAGTCCATGTTCTGGGTAACCTTTTTATATTTTTGTATCTTCACCAGTAGCTTCAGCAGATGCAGAGGATCCCGACTGCAGCCAAGTCAGGAAACCTGAAGCAGAGAAGCGTGTTGTTCCTCCGCTCCGCTGTGAGAAGGTTTCAGAGGTGCAAAGCTGTCCGAATGTTCAGCGTTCACACGCCCCTAGGGTTTACTCGCCTGTGGCCCCGTGCTCCACACACACCCAAAACACAGATGCTGTTTGTGATCTCAGCATTTACACACAGATGCATGCGTCTAGAGAAGCTCTGAACCTGCTTTAACTACTGATAAGTTCGGTCACACATCACAGCCATATCCCGTCTGCTCGAAGGGCAAAAAGGTGAAAAAAAATCTGTTGTTTCTCCCACATGCACTCTCTGCTGGCACAGACAGCAATGCCTCATGCAAACAAAGATATTTATCCAGACTATGTCAGAAAAGCACCATAAGAGAGATCCACAGAAGCACATATTTGTCAAAGAACAAGTTATTTAAAATATATAAATTAACAGAAAATTTTAGAAAACAAATCGAGTCCAATGAGAACGGAGCTCTGAACACGAGGTGTGGTGAATAACTAAGGTGTTATTTTTTCCATCTACTGCTCAATGAGAATAAATTACTTTAGAAATAATTAAAGGTTTACTCGGCTCTAAAATGTTCAAACTATTGATTTTATATTAGATGTATGTTGCTAGATCTGATTTGTTTGCTGCCTACATCATTTTACTCTTTTGTTAACCTACTATAAGGGATTGTTTGGCAACAATATTAGGATACCGGTACTTTGTTGTTAGATGTTGACACGTTGATTCTGCATGCCTGTCTACTGAATTAGGATTATAATTTGGTGTGGATAGCAGGCAGCAGCGGTCTGAAACAACAGGTGGGTGCAGCACCATGGGAGCACAAAGAAGAAAGCCTCAGTCTCTCTGCAGATTTTTATTTCAAATACAGGAGAGCCGCAGGTCAGCCTTGGGGTTTGAAGGCATTCCGCCTGAAATAGCACCTGATATGACACTTACCTGCGGCTGTATGGTCAGAACCACCAGAACCACCAGAGTCCTGTGCAGGTCGAGGGGTCCCCGGTGCCGCTCAGACCTCATAGTCTGCTGCTTCTCGTGGATCTTTGTGCTCCTGCTACTCCTTGGATGGAGAAACATCCTGTGCGCTCTTGTGCTTTCTATCCCTGTGTCCAGGGATTTGGGGACCGGTCTGTGTGCTCCAGAGGCGAAGGCACCCACTCCTCCTTCTCCTCCTCTCCTGTGCACTCTCTTCTCCTCCTCACCAAGTCAAACGTCTAAACTCCCGCAAAGCAACTTCATTGCGTCAACATCAGCATCTAAACCTCTCCTCGTCACAGTTGTGTCCAGGGTGTCGGAGAAACCCGCACACGCCTCATATAAACACTCCTTTATTCCTGCCCCCACCTGCGTTAAGAGGATTTAAAGGGTCCAATCTGCCGGCTCACTTCACTTGAACTCTCATCCCAATTAGATGACACACACTCTCATCTGCCACCAAGCTTGATCCACAGAACACAAAAAGTGCCTCTGTGTGTGTGTGTTTAAAAAAATGTTTTCCAGTCAAGCCCAGGTGAAAACGCAGCGAGAAAAGTTGAGCCTCGTCTGCAGAATGATGACTCCGACCTGCGATCTCCTGATCCGAGCGGCTGCTTGGTCGCTTGTGAACCCGATCCCAAAGCCTGGCGGCGGCAGAGTCAGTGTGGGAAACAATGAGAGAAAGAGAGAGAGAGGAGGGTGTGTCCTGAGGCAGGGAATATCCGTCATTCAGCTCCTCTCCGGATGGTCCCAGTGTGCGCTCTCATCACTCTCCTTCAGTCTGTGGCCCGACCCAACTTTTCTCTTTTCCCTTTTTTTGTGTGGTCACTTATGCGCATGGGATTATCCTGAATGTGTCTGGGTTTTGAGTTTCAACTCTCCCCCCTCCTCTTCCTGCTTTCTGTCCTCCAGTTTCACTTCAAAGCTCCCGACCCGTTTTCACAGTTCTGTCCCGGTCTGGGTTGCCTCAATAAAAAAATAAAAAAATAAAAGCACACATCGTATTTAAACCACCTTTGCTGCAGGTGATCAGACGAAAGTACTTGACAGAAAGCTTGCAGGAGCCAGCAGTCCACCTGCAGCCCTGCTCTGTCTGCTCGATACAGATCTAGTGATGAAACTTGTTCCGACAGCTGCAGCTACATCCTGCTGTTTGCATGCAGCTGCTTAACGAAGAATAACCGGCTCAGCGCAGAAATATAAAAGGCACTTGCAGAGTGTGAAGGCATCTTTTCAATATTGACACCCGCCACATGGCATATTTTTTTCCCCACATGTGACCTCCTGTGCATCTTGCTGGATTCGAGACCTCCACACAATGCATCTCCTTTATCCGAGGGCATCTAATGAGATTCGGCACCCCCTCCTCCTCCTTCATCTTTAAGGTCTGTCACGGGACTGTTGCTCAAGGGGTTCCCTGACAACCAGTGGTGTTTCCGCGGTGACCCTGGAGAGAAACAGAGGCCTTTTGGAGAGGAGGGCTCTGATTAGCATATTGAGGAGCAGTGACATCCAAACAGGAGCTGAATTTCTAACCGAGCATCCAGAAACACGTGGGTCTTCAAAGTACTGCAGCTGTGTGTGTTTGGTTCACCTAATGAAGAGCCACCAAGATAAAACAACAGAAACATGCAGCTGTTGAACCTAAGGGGAGAGCCGTGAGCTGAGTGTCTGGCACCATCTTATGGTCACTGGTGTCCTTTTGGACAAAAGGCCCCACAGACACGGCTTTAGGCTAGCTTCAAGTGTTTTGTTAGTGTCGGTTTTACCGTTTTCTTTCCCTTCTGCACCTGCAGTCACTGCAAACTCCCACTCCCTCCAAGATGGCGGACACCGACAAGGCCAACCCTAACCTTACAGAAAAATAATGCTCGTCAAACTCCATCACTCTCCTTTTTACCTCATGTGAAATAAAATAGTATTAGCAACAATACTGCATTTTCGCTTGGGAGGAAATATTCTACATTTGCCTAATAAATTACTGAAAATGCTACCTAGCTAGCTAGAAAGGTGGGGAAAACTAAACTGCTGTCCAACTAGTAATGATAAGAATAGATAAAAAATAAGCTTTGTACTCAAAAGCAATAAAAATTTAATCAATAACCTTTTTTTGTAGTGCATGTAACTTTATGAAAGGACACAAAGAAACCTCCAAAAAAGGTTCAGAAAGTCGCGGACGCCAAAACCTAAACCTACGCCAACTGACTGGGTTGCCAGAAAGAAAATGACGAAATGTTGTACCGTCACTTTTAAAATGATAAAATTGGTGAAGGTGCTTTCACGTTCAGGGTGTATCAAACTTTCTGGCTATAAATCTGGCAACAAAACAGAACAGCAAGTGACATTTGGTCACGTGAAAATTTCAGCTTTTAAGTGAATGTTTACTCTAAATGGCATATTTTCTCTGACACAAACTAAAAATATTTAACCAGAAACCACAATTTTAATATGTTCAAATTAAAACAATAATTTCAATAAACGAGACAACAGTTTTTTTCAATGTGGCGTAGCTATCAGTAAATTCTCATATTTCCAATTTAATTTGTGTGAATGTTGAATCGGCATACCGGTGCACACTGAGCGTTTTCTGTTTATAATTGTGTTTTTAACTCTTTGTTTATAACGTTTACACAAAACCTCATGTTAGAGATCTGAACTAGGTTTTAAAAAACTGGAAGATTATATTTTGGCTCCAGTCTGCAGTCTGGATGAAAATGCTGGATTTCACCCTCTGATTTTCATTTACACTGCAAGCTGTATATTTTTTCTTGACCATGTTCCTCCTAAAATAGTCGATGAGCCTAATTTCAGCACTCAATTCTCTTTCATTAAAACATTTTGTAAAACTTTGTTACAATTTAGAGCAAAATTAAAATGTGCTTTAGGCCTGGGCTGGCTTTTGACAAGTGGCATACCCAGTATACATCAGTGATTAAATGATCCACATTTGTTTCATCTTTTTAAACTAAAATATACAAAATGTTCTTTCCTTCTCATTTACAATGACAGATGGTATAAACATACGGATATCATATTTTTGCAAACAATGAAAGCTCTGTTCTGAATGTGTAAAAACTTCATCCACAGGTTTAAGCTGTAAATCCAAGTTATTTCTGATTTTCACAGACAACTTCTCACCAAAGCATAAGTAGCGTTACATCTCTTTAGGCTCTGCAAACAAGATTTGTTTCATAAATGGGAAGTTGTGTTTTCATAATCATGCTTTTCACACACATACACACATATGGCGCCCTGGTGGCTAAGGTCAGTGCTTTCTCAAGACAAAATAAGGGAGTGTGGAAAGGCTTGGGAAACTGCAGAAGAATGTGAATTTTTGTGTATGTTGTTGGGCTGACCTGCAGACAATTACCATGGGCACAGTTTAAATCCACAACAGGGAGCCCTGTGTGGACGGGGCAGTTGATAGTGTCAGTCCAAGTTAGGCCTTTGAAGGACTGATTCACACATCAAGCTGTCTGCAGCTCATGAATCCAGCCTTTGAGATGAAAAGGAGCTTCATTTTTTCCTATTTGGCTGAGAGGTTTTTTTTTTTAATGGTTAGTGAAATGCACTTATTTACCAACTTGCCAATAATAAAACCTACATTCTAAACACAAAAAAAAATAGAAATTATACAACTAAATTCAAGTCCATCATATAAAATAAAATTAGTAACCTTAAAATTACTTTTAATGTTTTAAGTGTCCCAACTACTGGTATATATGTTCTTCTTTCAGGTCTAGGAACTTGCATAGCTGCAGAAATACTGTAGCTAATTTCTTAACATCCCTGCCTTCAGATTATTGCGAAAACATGCAAAATATTCATGTGAATTTAAGACCCAGTTCCTACTCTTTTAACATTCAGTTAAAACAGGAAAAGAAACCAGTGGTCCTTTGCAGATGTAAGTGTAAATGTTATTTGTACATCAACCTGCCCGTTTGTGTGGAGTTGACACAATCTCATGTACCTGAGTTTTCTGCGGTTTCCTCCCACTCACAGAAAAACATGCATGTTAGGTTAAATGGTAATGCCAAACTGTCCCTAGATGATCATGTGTGAGTGTGATTGGTTGTCTGTGCTCCTGACTTGCCATCTGTCCAGGGTGTACCTCGACTTTTGCACAGAGACCTTTGAAAACACCAGCTGTGAACTGGCAAAGGAAGAAGAGCTGGATAACAAAGGCAGGGAAGAGTAGGTTTATAGCGCCACACAATGGTCATAAAGAAAGTTACACTGAAAGATTCACACGCTGAACAGTAGTGTTTTATGAATGTTCAAGTTTTATTCTAATGAAAAAAATATGAAAGAAAGAAAAGCTCCAGGTACAGTGTCTGGAAGCCCAGACTCTGGGTGCAATGCTTTATGACAATTTGTTCTAAATAATGAAATAAAAAATAAAATAAAAAGATTTGTCTGAAACTTTTACCAGTAAGATCCAGAACTTCAAATTTCTCAGTTACAGTCCACAAAGTGTTTTGCTTTGAGGACATTAAACAGCAACTAGACAAAACCAGAAATGCATACTTACATGTTGTCCTTGTGCGGGAAATATTCACAGTCAGACAAGAACATTTCTAAAAATGATTTGCTTTGTCAATATAAAAATTAAAAAAAGAGAAAGATCTGTACGAACACAAAACAAGACCTGTGTGAAAATGGGTTATTTTTTGGCAAAAGAGATCTTCATGGCATTTGACTGCGTGATCTTGAAGCCTTGCAGAGCTTCTCGTGCAGCTCCAGCCTGCACCTCATTTTCAAACTCCACAAAGGCGATGTCGTGACGACCAGGGACCAGACGCACCTCTTTGAATCCAGGGAACCTAAACATAGAACAAGTTAGGTTCGGACTTTAAAAAGGCAACGCCACACTTGCAAGGGAACGTTCTCAGTTTGGAGAAGCAGGAGGGATTCTCAAAGAACCACGCTAGTTCCATCAAGTTCCATCAAAATCGACTCAAATTCTATTTGTTCTTTTAAACCTCCTTATACATGTGATTTTGTATTTTTAATTATCATTTTGTTGTAGATTTTTCATGTTAAAAATCGGGTTTCACAACATTAACTCTAACTGCATTCATCATAACAGGGTCCATGCAGTTTCTCAGTTCATATGTTCTGCTTAGTTTAATAGAGAATTAAGCCTGATTCTCACTGGGACACGACTTAAAGGTTTGTTTGCAACAGGCATTCTCAAGAAAGTCTCAAAAAGGCCTTGAAGCAATCAGAGGTTTTCAACTTCTTTGCATGATTTGTGCAACGCACTCTCTTAAAATAGCTGCAGAGTTGCGACAGAAAACATGAGGCTATAGCTCAAAATCTTAAAGGTCCATGCTAATGAAAAAAAAAAAAATCTTAAAAACTGCTCCAAATCTGCTTATTTCAAAAGTATAATTAAGATTCAAACATGGCGACACAGCTGCATTGCCTGTGTTCTTGCAATTTTGAGTCTCCCAACAGTTGCAGCTCAGTGAGATATACCCATTATATCCTCAAATTTAAATTTCTCATATCATCATCATAACACATTGACAACACTGAATTGTGTAAACAAAGAGTACAGTCTACTGGAAGTAAAATGGTCTACTTCACTGAACTCTTTTTTGGCAGAAAATTGGGTAATACTCACTGGTTGAAGAGCATGGACAGCATGAGTTCGTTCGTTTCCTCTGGCAGGTTGGTGAGGAAGAGGATGTGATTGGGAGGATTTTCTGAAACCTGTGTGAAGAAAGGAAAGGTCAGACTCAAACAACTTGTACAATAAAAGTGACTTTAAAATAAGGAAATATGAACTGTTAAGAACCCCAAGCACCGGTTACCTGCTGAGGCATTTGTCCTGGCATCATCTGTCCAGGAAGGCCACCTGGGGGCATCTGGCCAGGAGCCATTCCAGGAGGTGGCATCATACCTGGAGGGGGCATGTAAGGTGGCTGTCCAGGAATATGCATCATGCGAGGAGCCTGGCTCATGGGAGGCATCCCCTAATAAATAAAATACAACTCTAAGCTTCTATTCATGTTATCTAAATGAACGAGCACATTATTGCCCTTGTTTTTTTTTTTTATATATATCCTGTTATGCAAGTGAAAAACAAGCCAAATAGGATGAGTCAGAAGATTGTTTTTATCACTTGTTTCTTCCTTAATTAACAAATTATCAGTCAAGGCTTTGTTTAAAAGTAAACGACAGCTTTAATAAAATTCGATCTTTACACAGTAATTGCAGAAAAAAAAATTATCTGTAGATTGGTACTCACTCTACACATATATACACATGGACATGTTCTCTGAATTCCTGCTCAATATTCATCTCCATTTGAGCATAGTGTATATAAAATGTCCAGCTTTACTTACTGCCATAGAAGCAGGAACCCCAGCAACCATGCCTGCACCTTTCTTAGTTCCAGTTGATTCGGGTTTGGGCTTCTTCTTCTCCTTTTTACGGTCACGCTCCACATAGGTCCCCTTCATCTTTGCAATAATGTCTGAGTCAATTTTAGCGTACTGGATTCGCTGCATGAAAACAAACATTTTCAGCACGCAAGAACTTCAAGTAGTAAAGCATTCCAAATGATGCCTGTTGTTGACCAACCTACCATGGGTTTATCATAAAAAGGAAAGCCCTGCATCGATCTTAACGCATTGGAGGCACTGTTGATCTCTTTGAAAATAACAAAAGCTTGACCTCTCATCTTTAAGTTTCGTGCCACCAAGATGTCCAAAATTTGTCCAAACTGAGAGAAGATGGCGTAAAGTGACTTTTTCAGCTCTGGGGTTAGAAAAAAGAAGTGTGAATTCTCAAAAAAATAAAATAACCGTGTGAGTAATACACAGAAAGGCCAGGAGAGAAACTCACCATCTTTCTTGATTTTCTCATTCAAGTTGTTGATGTATATCGTGTGATTAGGCCTTACTTCTGGAGTAGTCATCCTTTAACCTAACCGTGAGTGGTTCTGGGGGAGAAAAAAAAAGAACACAGAGGCATCTAGAAATTAAAATTCATCTTATAAAACGGCTTGAAACCGCATAATTAGGCAGCCAATTATCGTTTAGCATTAGCAACGTGAGAGAAGCGCGACATGATTAGCTTGTTAGCTCTGAACTAACGCGACTCGGCGCAAAAGAATTCCCTCCCAAAACACAGATTTAAAGTCGCTATCTGATTCTGAAACTTCTCTAAATTTCTAAAATATAAATTCAAGCCTTAAAACATCGTACAGCAAACAATTAAACGCACAAAACGCTGATAACAATGAGCTTTGTGTGGACAACGTACTCAACTCGAAATGATGAATGAAAAGACATTGAAGTTACTTCCGGTTATCCGCAAAGCCACTTCCGGTTTTCCGCAAAGTCACTCAAAATCAACGTAAATAAACTGTAGAGCCCCCTAGTGGATCGAAAGGAGGGAATCCAACACTCATCCAAACACGCCAAGTGACACTCAGCAGTCTAAATTGTAGTTTTCCTTTATGCAGTTTATTGTCAACAGCAGTAAGGGAAGTGACAGAGCTGAAGATGTTGAGGTTCTCCTTGGGAGTGACAAAAACGGATAAAATGATCTGTGGTACAGCACAGGTGAATGAGGTCAAGTTAGAGAGGCCAAGACTGAGATTTGGACATGACCAGAAGAGGGACAGTGGGTATATTGGTATTTACTGGAAATGACAGCTAGAATAAATAAATAAGATTTTGGGACCAGTGACCTGGCAGTAAGACGCAGCTGTTTGGGAAAAGACAGAGAGGAGAAATATGGATGCATTTACATACCATACCATACCATACCAATTTATTTATATAGCACTTAAAACAGCAACAAGGCCAACCAAAGTGCTGTACAAAAGAAAACAAACATGCACAGCGGACAGGAAAACATAAAATAGAAAATACAGATACAAATAGCAGCAGAAGCTAACTAAAATGTCCAACAGAGTAGAGAACAGCCCGGACCAAAACAAATCACACCGTGTTAAAGGCAAGCGAATAGAAGTGGGTCTTCAAGCGAGACTTAAAGACTGAGAGTGTGGGAGCCTGCCGGACACTCAGTGGTAACTCATTCCACAGTCGTGGACCTGCGACAGAGAAAGCCCTGTCACCTCTGAGCTTACGACAGGTTTCTGGGACAGAGAGAAACATCTGGTCTGCTGACCTCAGAGAGCGCGGTGGGACATATGGCTGCAGAAGATCAGTGAGATAGGATGGGGCGGAACTGTTCAGTGATTTAAAAACATGAAGGTCGTTAGTGTGATTAGGTCCTGATGTTAAGGAGTTCTGTGAGACAGTGAACCTGTTCTGGATTGTCTGACCTGTGAGATCAGTTTTTATGTAAATGTAACATTTGTTGCAGTTTGTCATTTTCTTGAATATTTTTCCTCTTGTCATTTTCTTTTTAAACTTGCTGTTCATTTAATGTTGATACAATTATTCTAAAATTAGGATATTATGTGAAATAAAAAGGTAAAACAGAATAAAATAATTTGGTCAGAGGGTGATGTCTTCTGCCAAAAACATTGCCCCAGTGGGTGTTGTGTTATCCTGAAGTCCATCATTGAAGTGAGTTCAACTGATTGGCTTCATCTCTGCTATGCCATCTATAGATTTACACTATTGTGAATTGCCATACTTGTTTGTACTTGTTTTGATAAATAAAGTTTTCTTATATAAAAAAAATTGGCTTCATGATCCACATAACTCCTTCAGACAGCCTTCTTCTGTATACTCCATTCATTTGTTTGTGGTATACTTGTCATTTGCTTGAATAAAGATTTATTAAAAAATAAAAAACTCTTTCAGATAGCCTCAGAAGACAATAGGAGTGCACCACTTAACAATAAGTAATAACAATAAATAGTTTTTTTTATTAAAAACTAAACTAAGAGTTGTTCTTATCAGTTCACATTTATCAAAACAAATAAAAAATGATGAGAACAATTATGTTGTCGTTGTCAGCAAATTACTCACACATTTATTTAAATAAAACTATAAATCATCAGTGTAATGTTTGTTTTAGTCAAATGTAGAGTTTAATTGTTTATTTCAGGAAACAGATTGTGTTCATGTTTTATCGTGAAGTTTTATACGTTACAGTGTAGTACGTATACTCGCAATACTGTACACGTACTCTACAGTACAGTATTGCGAGGGAATGCAAAAGCTTTTGAGAACCATAGATATCATATATAAACACGTAAACACATGTTTATATGATAACTGTGGTGGGAACTGGGAACGCAAAACGAAAAAAAAATCCTCATGTCCCCTCCCAGTCTCCGTACCAAAGTAATTTCCGGTGTAACTTTCGAGTTTTGTACCTCTATAATTATTCCTAATAGTTGCTCTTACTACGCTTATTGTTATCTATTTTAAATGCAAAACCCGTCTTACCAAATATAACAACTGTAAAGATTATAAATTTGGTTTATAAAGTGGCAATTTTCAGTCGCCATAAAATGCTTTAGAGGGCGGTGGTTGGCCTGACGGATGTAATGTTTGGAAAGAAGAAGATAATTGACCTTAAGAAGACTGAAATAATCGAGAGAATATAGTATTTTTTTCCTTTTTTATTTTATTTAGTTAATAATAATTATTATTATTATTATTTATTTATTTATTGTTAAAAACCTGTGCAGTATTTATTTAGCATCCCGATCCACACTCCATTCCAGTAGATGGCGGTAATGCACATCTAAACGTTGCTTGCCAACCGCCATAAAAAAAAAAAAAAGAAGAAGAAGATAATTGCCAAATATGGGCATAACACCGGTGTTAGCCCTTCAGCTAAGGTAGTATTTGTGACTTGCTAGTTACTACTATATGCAGGACATTATGCTTCTCGGTTTCTATTTCGTTGACATTCTGAGTGGAGGGACAGATTAAGTTAATTTATTTTTTTAGTTTTTTGTAACGTTTTAGAGGCAGCAGAACAGCGAACCAAGTCACATTAACAGTAGAAGAGAGTGTGTAAGTAAGATGTATCAAATGTTATAACAACTTTGTGTCAGGGTGAAGGAGCTCAGGGAAGATGCCAGTGGAGTGTCCCCTGTCACATCCCCCTCCACCTTCTCCTTGTCCTCCACCTCCTCCTGCTCCTTGTCCTCCACCTGTCTCTGCACCACAGAAGAAACTGTATCAGACTATATCCAGCAACAGGAGAGCTGTGGAGGGGGATCACACTGAGGCCTGCCTACTGCTCAGACAGAGGGAGAACAGGTGAGATTTGCTCTTTCAACATCTAAAAAATAACAATAACCTGAATACCTGTTCATAATGATTGTGTTCTTGTTACAAAATAAGTTGATCTGAACCTGTGTTTATCTCCTGCACCTGTACAGTAAAGCTGGTCATTTCTCATACTGTACAGAACTTGCAGCCAAGTTTTGAAGTTTGTATCAGGTGCTACATTGTTTACTTCATATATCGGATACAAATGCACAGTGCAGTTTGAATATTTTTATAACTCTTATGGCATGGCTCAAACAATATAACCATAACAAAAACAAGGGGAAGCATGCAGGAATATGTTTAAAAATGTTTTATTTTTAACTACAGTAATCCAAAATTATCATCTGAAAAGAAAAATGAGGATGCTCCTCTCTTTGAAAGAGGTACTGTTTAAATGAACTCCACTGGAGACGTCAGCTTTAGCTCCTAATCGCCTGTGGAACCTGAAACGTACAAACAGGAACCCAAGGAATAGGGCCTGGGTCGTAACATAATGCTGACACTGTTTCAGAGATACAGAATAATTCAGTTTTCAGCTCTGTCTACAGCTCTTGTGACGAGTGGGTTAAGATAGTCTGTCAAATACAAACAGCAAAAACAACCATTTCTTGTTAGTTTTCTGTTTCTTATGATAATTCAATCAATCATTTTAAATTTTAGCTATTATCTAGACAAAATGTACATTTCAAAGACGTTTCTTGATTTTGCATAAAGGTGACATGCTCACCTGGTTTAACACTAATAACAGGTAATAAAATAGTTGTGAATAATGGATTAAAAAAAACAATTAAAAAAACTAAAACTACTGGACTTGAGTTGGGAGGCAAAATGAATTTTTGTCAAGTCAAAGTTCATTTTTGATAAAGCCTACCTGGGTGGGAAGCAAAACGACTTCATCTTTAGAATAAAAATCCATTTGTTTTTATTTTTAAACCCTTTTTTTAAGTTTGTGATCTGGATGACTGAGAATCCTCACCAGCATATTGTGAATAAAAATGATTCGGCAATTTTTTTTTGGAAAATTTTTTAGAAAAAAAGTCTTATATTGTGCTCATCTGTTAAGGTACAAAAAAATAAAATAGACTTTATAATTAAATCTAGAATTAACACCCACGGAAGCCTAAAAAAAATACAAGTATTAACGTCATGTGTTTTCACCTCTAATGTTTCAGGCCTATTAAAACAAACATTATTATATTATTTTAATTTAAATATTGTTTGTGGAGGTGGCTATTGAGCAGCATAGCCCAAAACGTACACGTTTTATAAATACTTGTTAAAAATAAAACTGTTTTCATGGAAAAATGTGTCTTTATGTGACGCAGAGTGTTCTTTATTTGTTTCTCAGTTTCAGGAAGGACCTGCAGTGGATACTGGCGAACACATATGTGCCTTCTCGAATCCAAGATGGTCCCCAGTAAGTCCACAAACTAAGGTGTTGACTTTATTACTTGCTGAGCAGGACCTTAATCTTTATTTTAAATGAGAGCGCTCATACGTGTCGTTTTTAACTGTTGCTGAATACACAAAGGTTATTGTCTTCTTGAGGCTGTTAAACCATAAAACAGTTCTGAGTTGTGTGTTTGCGTTTCAGGTGTGGTTTGGTGGCGTTGTGGATGGCCGCTCACCTCCAGAAGCCTCCTCCGACTGTTGACATGGAGTGTGTGTTTCAGACAGCGGTCAGGCAGGGATACACAGCTCAGGGAGAAATGTTTTCAGGTAACACAAGCCTGGTGCGTTTTAAATTAAAAGTTCATAATGGTAAGCACAAAACTAAAGAAATAAAAATGTTGCATAGCTCAGATTAATGTCTTCCCAAACTTTTGATTTTATCAACCTGATGTTTCAACCTTCAAGTGATTCGTACACCGATCCGATAAAGTTCAGTTGTGAACAGTAACGTCTTACATTTTTGTAGTACGCAAAACGTTTTCTTCTCCGGTACTTGTCGGCTGAAAGTTTCTGCACAAAATGAATCTTAGTGTCGATGCATGTTGGATCAAAACAGTTTTTCTGTTAGCACAGTAATGAACATATGATATCTGATTCCAGGAAACGTTTGAAAATTCATGAACAGTTTGTATATTTAATCCAGGATTTTACTTTGATGATTCGCTTTTTATTCCACGTGCACCTAAAGTGCAGTTTTTCTCATCTTAAATTAACAGATTTAGTTTATTAAGGAACCTTTTTTTTTATTTTACAGCACAAAACATGGCCTTGTTGGCAGAAGAGGTTTGTGGCTGTAAGGCTGAACTGCTGTCAGGAGGGCTGAGTGGTAGAAATGGTGCTACCATCATCGAACACCTGTGGGGGGGTCAACCTGTTCTCATCCCGTATCCTGCAGCAAAACTTGAGTTGACTAACTTGAACTTTAAAACTAACTTAACTTTAAAAAAGGCTGTACCGCGTTTGTCTTTTGCTTGATGACTTTGTTGAAGGTTCTTGACGATTTGCACAGATATGATGAGGACAGCAACCACGAGCCGTGTCTGCGTCGAGGTCGTAAAGCACATTGGGCAGTAGCTTCAGGTAAGACTGAACAGCTGATCAGAGTTTAGGGAACAGTTTCAGCTGATCAGCACAGCCAACAAGTTAAAGAACGTTTTAAGATGCATAAACAGATACACTACAGGCTTGATGGGAGTTTGTTGTTCACTTGTTTTTTTTTTACAGTGTAAATAAATAAACGTACCATCTGAAATGTCCACAAATCAAATAGAAAATGTATAATCTATAGTTTGTGCAAGCAGTTCTTATGTCATCCATAGATGGTGATCCTAAAGAGTTTGTGGCCTTTTATCAATCTTGTCACTTTAATTGATGCAGTTTTCTCTGTTAAGCCTCATATCGAAAGCCTTTTAAAGAAACTGCGGTTAAAATGGGATCTTTAATCGTTATTGCTTTTATTAGAGTTTATCAAACTGTTAAAACAGGTCTCCCTTGAAAATATGTCCTTGTGTCTCAATGAGATTATCTGTTTTAAATGGAGTGAATAAAAAAATAAAAACGTTGCTCATTTTTAGATTCTGGGAAATAAATTACTATCCCATATAACTGAGCCAACTACATTTGTAAACCTTAATGATTATAAATTAATATAAGATGAAAACTTAAAGTGTTTTAACTGTCCGGCTGATGATTTGTTGTAAGTTTTTATACATTTTACATGCACCTATTATCCATAACAAATCTCAGCGCTCCTCAAACTCCAACATAAAACAGCTTCCACGTGTTGATTGCAGGAGTACTCCTCGGGTTGGACCAGGGGAGTGTGAGCACAGAGCACGCTCCGTCCGATCCCACGCTGCCGTGGCTCCACCTCACCACAGCCAGCCGCCTCCCTTGTCCCGCGGGCAGCAGAGAGGTTTACATCCTGGCCAAGCAAGGTAAAAGTCTGCGCTACCAGCTGTGGAGTCTGGACAGCATCGCTCAGAGCAACCAGCAGCTGGAGACGATGGACCCTCAGAGAGCCAATGACGGGACCCAGTACGTGGTCCCTGAAGGAGGACTGGGAGCCGGGCTGGCTGGACAGGCGGTTTTACTCCACATGAAAACTCAGAACCAGTGACTAATCGGATCAGCCCTATTTCATCTGACAACACCGCGGGCAACATGGTGCATGTATCAAAGTAAATAAATCTAAAATGTTTACACTACAGTAAAGTACTGTGTTTGTAGATCTTTGTCATTTCCTCCTCAGTCGGGGCTCATAGCTTTTCATGAAAACAAAATTCTCTGATTTTTCTGAGTAAATCCAGGAGAAATTTCAGTGATTTTATATATATATATATATATATATATATATATATATATATATATATA